AGGATGGAGTATAGACCTAGTTACCTAGATCTGGTCTCGTCTCTGGGGTCCAGTACAGCTGTTGGTACTGGGGTCCCTAGATTCAGCCTGTGTCCCAATAAAGCTGAAGTCTTCTTCTGAAGTTGTAGACCAGTATATGGAGCCTGGGTTGGGGTTTGGGGGGCAAGTGTGTGTGTGTATGTGTATGTGTGTGTGTGTGTGTGTGTGTGTGTGTGTGTGTGTGTGTGTGTGTGCAGTCTGGGGTTGTTGTAGAGCAGACTTTAAAGGAGTTTTGTGGGCAGTGGGCAGTGGGCAGTGTCTTACCTGGGGTTCCTAGGACCAATCTGACCTCCAAGAAGGCTGTTAGGGCTTTGGGCTCTAGTATGGAGCTCAGGGTATAGATATAGTCTAGGGCTATTGGGCTGGTTTTAAGGAGTGTTAGCTTGTGGTCGGTAGTGCCTTACCTGGGGTTCCTAGATCCTGCCTGGCCTCAAGTAGAACTGAAGGCTTCTTTCAAAGTATTAGGCTGGGATATGGGGCTGAGAGGAGGAGATGTAGTCTGGGGTTGCTGGACAGGCTTAATGGAGTTTAGTAGGTGGTGAGTGGTATCTTCTCTGGGGTCCTTAGGACTACTCTGTCTTCTGGTACAGCTGCTAGGACTGTGGGCCCTACTTTGGAGCCCAGGCAGAGGGGTGCAGTTGGTGCAGTCTGTCTTTTTATATCCTCAGTTACACATTAGATAAGATGTACTACATAATACAAAGTATATGTGTGACATCCACATAGGTGTCTAAATATGAAGGTAAGACGTAATTAATATTCTTATGGGGAAACATGAAAATGTGTTATTATGAAGCCAAGCCACTATGATAACTACTGACTGGACATCTGTCACACAATTGCCCTCATATCTTATCAGCATTGTATGAAATGAAGTAAAAAATAAACAAAAGATATAAAGACAGATTCTAGACACTGAGCATACAGCCATGACAAAGAGGTGGGTGGTTAAAATGTGCAGATTATATAGATTATCCTTTGTAAACATAGAGAATAATAGTCTGGAAAAGTAGAGAGAGCTTAGATAATACCAAAGCACAGATAATATAACTGTCCACAAAACATGGAGATGATTTAAAAATGGAAAATGAGTTAAAAAAAACCTAAATGGAAAAAAATCTTGAAATAATTTAATTACTAGAATATAAGTAAGACACACCAAATTATTGCCCACTACCATCTGATGTTACTTCATTCATGGTTCCAAGACCATGGTTCTGTTAATGTCTGTGACATATTCGTTATTGTTTAAGACATACATAATCAAAGCTGGGTATTAGCTTTGATACTAGAAGGAAAGGATGGAATAAAAAAATATAAAAGAATACATCCTTGCAGACTGAGATTTCTAAAATAACTGACAATGAATTAGTATAAACAAATATGTACACTAAACATAGCAAATCACCCAGAACACAAGCTGTCTAAAGGTGAGCATATGAACAGGTGCATAGATCAGCGGTGGATGCCAGAAGCACACACACTGGGAGCTTATGAACTGCAGTGAAGAGTAAGATAAGAAAACCTGCAAAATAATATTTTCACAACATTTTTTTTATAGCCCAGAAAAACAAACCCTTTCGTAATGGCTCTGTGAGACGGCACAAAGTTTCTTTAAACTGTCATGTTTTAAAGTCAACCAAATCTTGCACCCTGTTTTACAGACTGTATCAATACAAACAAACTATGGTCAGTTAGCTGCAGAATAGTTAAACTAATAATCCTGAAATATGTGTTAATTGGATTTTGTAATTTCTAGAACCATTTGCATGAAGCCTCATGATGTTACTGTCAAATTCATGTCCATTTGGGAGTCACAGGGAACCCAGAAGCATAGAACTTTAAGCAGTGTGGAATCCTTCCTGCAAGACTTTAGCTTGCATTTTTTTTCCTGTAGATGAGACTCTGACAAAGTCACGGGGGAGCATCAGGGTTCTCTTAGTGCCCTTTTGAGAATCAGATATGGACTGAAGTCAAGTTAAGCTGCCATGGTCATTTCTAAATGCCTTCCTGATATACAGTCTCTGCTAGTGTTTGCTTTATCTCTGTGTTTGATATCATTTTACTCCATGGCATTTGACCTTTTTCAGAATCCAGCTTCAGTAATGAAGTAAGACCGTGGTAAGAGTAGCCACTGTTTGCTTCCTTAACATTTGGAATAATATTTTCTTGATAATCTAAGCTCAGTGGGTATAATAAAAATATCAAAATAGTTTTGTTCTTACTTTTCAGGATTGTGTAAGGATATATTTTTCTAAGGTTCTGGTTACACTAAAAATATGCTCTAAAAATAACAGTCTATCAACTTTCCTCAGCAGCTTTCTGCTGTTTCCAACTGTAACACTTTCCACTCGAATGCACCTTAATAGGTTGGGAATGTTGGAGGAGAAAGAAGGCAAAAGGAAATTATTGTCTGAGCATATTTATTATGCCAACAATGCAGCTTATTCATCTTTGATGGAGCACAATTAGACATAGAATTTCTCGTAACACGAAATGATTTGGTCAGTGGGAACTGCTACAGATAATTATAAATAACTTGAGAATAATTTGTTTGGATAAAAGGCCGAGGACAATATATAGAGTTTTCATTTTAGGAAAAATTTTATTTGCACTTCACATTAATCCTCTACTTAAGGATATTAGAAAAATCTAATTTACCACAGGTTCTGATGAGAAACGCAATAATTATTATATTTGCCAAATAAATTAATGAAATAGTAATGGAAATATAATAATAGCTTCCTAAAGCATAAGATATTTTTTCTCTTAAGTGTCAATTATCTTGAAATAATACTGAGCTTTACTTACTTACAATTCTTATTTAATTTATAGCTCTAGTCTTGGTTTTTCTTAGTTTCTGTTATTTTTGCTCCCTTGCTTCTTACACTTTCTCTCCCTCCCTCTCCTCTCCTCTCTCATACAAGTGTTTCTTAGGGGAGACTACAGTGGGGGCTCCTATGGAGTGGAATCGATGCTAAGGAGTTGAAAATCTTGTTCACATCCAATGTTGTCACAGTTTTTTAGCTTTCTTTAAGTGCCCAGAAAACCACAAAATATTCCATCCCCTCATAATTAACAATTTAAAGATAAGGTTGAGGTCATCATTATAGACAGGTGAGCTCCAGAGGATCACATGCAGCAGCATTCCTGTATCAGTTTATACAATGTAACTCTCTGTCAATTGTCAAACCACAAGCAACTCATAAAGTGACATGGAATTGAAGAAGAAACTTCCACCATGCAATCGTTCATTCTGATCACTCTTTATGGAAATATTAGGCCAAGGACCCAAAGTTATGTTGGCTTTAAAAGTAGTCCGTTGAAGGTGCATGTCCAAATACAGTTCTGATAACATGTCAAAGAGAGAAAAAAATGTTTATCTTCAACCCACAATATGTAGACGATGAAAGATAAAAAGTGTGGACATCTTCTAAAAACATTTTGTTTTAAATGAAGGTAATATAGTCAATGAATATGCATTAATTTTCTGAGTCCGTATTATGGCTTAGATTCAAAATGTTGGCTACAAGCTCATGCATTTGAACATTTGATCTCTAGTGATGGCACTGTTTTGGGAAGTTGTAGATCCTTTAGGAGGTAGGATTTTGGCAGAGGAAACTGGAGATGGGCCTTGCACTTTATAACCTGGTTCAAGTTCATGCCCCAGCTCTGCTTGGGGGAGATCACTAAGATGTGGGTATGTTCCTGATGCCCAGATATTTGTGTGTGCCCATTGCTGAGGAGGAGCATGATGACTCCCATGCAGCTGTAGGCTGCTCCTGCTGCAGTTCCTTTTCTGCTGTGGTAGGCTTCATCACCTCAGAACTCAGCCTTACCTCCTTACTTTGCTTTTTTGCCAGTTTTTAAAAATTGCAGCAATGAGTAAGGTTGGCATTCTTTTAGAATTTCAAAAATTATTTAATTTTAATTAGATGCACTTAACCTTACAAAACATGAAATTTTTAATCCAAATGATTAATGTGACACTTTGGTTCCATATATATACCATAGTGATATCCAGTAAACTTAAAAGCAGCAGGTGAGAGAGCTGGCCCTGGGGTCTCCAGACTAGGAGAGCTACCTGTGACCCACACATGCTGCAGCACACAAGAAAGCAGCCTCTACTTCCCATAAAGGCAGCACCCTAGAGCTGAGGGCTTGAGAGCAGGAGAGCTGATCCCGCTGCCTCCTTCCTTCTTATGCCCCATACAGCAATAGGAAGAGAGGGTCCTACACCTTGCCAGGACAAACCAGTAGAGTTGGCCCTGGTGACATGACTTCGGGAGTGGATCTGAGGGCCTGAGAGCAAGAGAACTGGCCCCATCCTTGCAGCTGGCTGCACTGGGTGAGCTAGCCAAAGCAGTTGCTGGAGAGCTCACCCTGATGAGAAAAAAGGTACTGACTGACCTAGCTACCTACCACCCAGGCCCAGAACCATGCCTGTGAGTTGGCCCGCCCTAACATCCCCTGAATCCATGAACTGTTGGAGTATGTGAAGGGGATGAACGTATACATCGAAAACAGAAGGATCTCCATGACACAGGACAACAACAGGATATCCAAGAAGAGCCCTAGTGAGAGCCTATTATGGCTGGTGTAGCAGAAGCCAGAGGCCGTGAGTCAGACCAATGACATTGGCAATGAGCAGTTGTACGGACTAAAGGGTAAAATGTGTGCCTCAACGGGACACACTACAGCTTCCACGACAAGATTCTTTGTTTGTTACTTTGTTTGTTTTTGCATTTGTATTTGGTTTTAGGTTTTTCTTTTTAAATTTGGTTTTCATTTTTTTGGGGGGGCGCGTTGCAAAGGCAGAGGGCAGCTATGAAGAGATGAGGAGATAAGTGGGATCAGAATGCAAGATGTGAAATCCACAAAGAATCAATAAAAGGTAAAAAAAAATAATAATAACACAAAATAACCAAAGAAACAATCACACTTGGCATGTTCATACTTACTTAGCATGACGGATGTCTGGCAGAGACCTCTCTAAAGCAATATGGTTGCTGACAAAAATATTGAAGCCATTTTCCCTGTAAGCTGAGTCATCACGGTCCTCTTCAGTAAGAGGATATGGTTTGCCATGTTCACCTTTCCCTACAAAGGAAAAAAAATAAAGTTTTCATCTGAAAAAAATCTATTTCATATTCTAGAACAGATATCCATCCATCAATAATATATAATGAAAATGTACGATTTATACACTCTAGCTTAGTTGTTAGCCTTGATAAAAAATTGAAGGCAGGACATATGCAGGAAAATGAGCTGAAAACTATTCTATTAAGCAAACAAAGTAATCCCCAGAATGACAAACACTTTCCTCTTGTAGGTAGGTCTTTAGATTTTTATTTTTATATATGTATGGAAGTGTACCTGCAGGTGCACGTATACAAGTGTGTGCATGTGGATGCTGGGGGTTGCCATCACAAGTTGTTGCTCTGCCTTACACACTGATGTAAGTTTTCTAGCAAAACTTACCTCGAGCCTCTACACACGCGCACACAGGTGTCTGCTTACATGCCTGTGCCTACTTGCAGGGAAACCTCATACTTAGATGTGCACCATAAACATACATTTTCCTAAAAAGTCAGGACAGGGGCAGAGATATTGTCAGCCTCTTCCTTCCTTTGCACATTTGCTTAGGCACGTTTGAAGACTTTGGTGTTATGCAACTGAGACTGAAAACCCAGTAAAGCTAATGTTTAGTATCTGAAATTAACATTTGTCATTGCACATAATCTGTTAAAGAGTAACTGGTATCAATCTTATAACATGGGCTATTTAGCAAAATAACTCATGGACTGTGTTTTTGATACATTGAGTTTATCTTTTTTCTTGTGGCATTCCATGGTTATATATTCTCTTATTTAATAAAGCCTCACTGTAATGGATTTGCAAATAAAAAATCACAACAACATCAACTAGCCCCTAAGTCTATGCATCTCAATGAACATCTAGAGTTAGAACAGCCCTTCTCAAACTCTGAAGTTTCACACTGGATTTTACACTTTCACTATTCAATGTCTTCATTCACTTGTGCACCACCAAAAAATGAAAACACGACAAAGTTAAAATTAGAAAAACAGCAAGTTTTTGTTTTGTTTTGTTTTGTTTTGTTGTTTTGAAAATCTTTCATGTCTCCTGTCTATAACTTGCATTCAGGTGCCAAGGAAGAGGTGTTTACACATAGCAATCATTTCTGAAGCAATGTTCCTTTGAATCTCATTGGGATTTCATATGACTCTTCCTTATTTTACGTGTGTGTGTGTGTGTGTGTGTGTGTGTGTTGTATAATGTGTTATAGCTTTTTTCCTATATATTATTCTCAATGCTCCTTGCTGGTTTTTGTACTTTCTTGTTACCTGTTCATTTTTAAGTCTCGTTGTCTCTCATACAGTTTTTAAATTGCCAAAGTTTTACAAGACTACAATATTTTTCTTTCATGTGGTAGAATTCATGTTGCCTCTTCTTGAATGAAGTACAGATTTCTCATTTTATTCTGTAACTTATAATACATAACAATTTCTATATGTGCGTGCTCTCGTCTGACTTAAATGTGATTGCTTCAAAGAACTGCAAGGATGAGTGTGAATATGTATTTGTAAGTTTGTGTAGGTATGAATCCATTATTAATAGAGAGAATCCTCTGCTGTGTTATAATACTACTTTATATTAACAGAATATTAAAGTTTAAGATCTTTAAAGAATTTTCTATTTTTTAACCTTATTAATTTGTTTTACAACCATACTTGATTTTAATGACCAGAATTCATTTTGGGGGGCTTGGGAAATTCAGTTTCTGTATCAAAGTTATACTCCAAAAATAGCATCAGAAGGAATCCTTTTTAGCTTCTTGTATCCTGCCTGTGACAGTTCCGTTAGTAGGGCAGATGTCCACATCAAGCAGGGGTAGTATAAGAAAGTGAACCTCTAAGAACAGGATGAAGCAGGACATGGTAATGCAGGCCTGTGATCATTGAACTCATAGGCCTGAAGTCAGTGGTGTCCTGGTTAAAGGCTAGCCTTAAAAAAATCAATAATGATAATAATAATGATGATGATGATAATCATAATACAGACAGAAATTTTCTATACTTTAGGGCAATTTTTGAAGTGTTTTTATGCTGAGCCCTAATAAACACGGGAGTGCTGAGGTGTTGTTTAGATAGTAGAGTACTTGCTTAGCATCCATATGGCTCTGGGTCAGATCTCTGACATTGCATTACTGGGAATGGAAGGACTCACATTCAGTCTGGGTGCTAGGAAGCTGGAGGCAGAAGTGGCAGGTTGGAAGTTATCCTCTGTTACATGGGGAGTTTGAGTCTGTCTCTTTTCTAGAGACCTTGACTCAAACAACAAAACACACAAAACTCCACCCGCCACCCAGCCACCCCAATAAAAACAAAATCCTGATATTTTACCTCTGCTCCTATTTTATTTTCAGGAAAGCTGTCACTGTATTATTTTCCAAACTAAATAGAAATTAAAATGTCAGTGAGAAATTTCATGTGCAAAGCATCATGCTGAAATATTTTATGTGTGTTTAACTCAATACAATTATGCAGCAAAATAAGAGTTGTTCTGTCCAAGTTACATGTGAATAAAATAAGAAGAAAAACTACTTTCATTAAACATTTCCATGACTGGGAAACTTTTAAAATCTGGAAATCTCTCTTCTATAGAATGTCCAAATTAACAGCAGAGGGATTTTGAACTATATGAGACCTGATATAACTAAGTTTATACTTCATTCTATAAATGGTACTTAGTAAGAAAGGTAAGAGAAAGTACTGCTTTTGTTTTCTAGACTGTCCCCCAAAAGTAAAAGGCTAATTATCATATTTGAAAATTTTATATGTAATTACTAAGTCCTAGGTGAAACACACAAATAACCCTGTTTTCCTTTTCACACTTTTAGAGATGTTTTCAAGTCCATGGCTTCTAACTCAGCCACTTTGCAGGCTACAGATATAGACAATGTATAGTGATATCATCATTAGAGCACCTGTTAGAAAATTCATTTTCCCTGTGCGACAGCTTGGTGTTTAGACCAGTAAGCAAAGACCCCAGAAGCAAAGGTTTTCAAAGGAATGAGTGACTCTTTAACATTATGTAACAAGACAAGTTCATTAATTTAAATGGCATCTTAGAAAATTTGTATCAGATTTGTTAAATTAGGTCTAAAAATATTGCATTCTTATACATGAAGGCAGAAGATTTTATTCCAGATGCTATAAAGTTTTACTATTTACATCCATGCAATCCCCTGAGTTCACATTTCTTTTGTTAAAGAATGCAACAAACAACAACAAAAAACCCCAGACACATACAAATCCCAATGAAACAAAACAAAACAAAACAAAACAAAAATCCAAATGAAAATAATAAATTAAGTACTATAATATTAAAAATATTTATTATTATTGTGAATCCATAGTTATACCTATTTTGAAATACTAATACACTATAATGCAACTCATTATAGTAGATTGTATATTCAGGCACCTTCTTTAAATTATGAAATACTGTATCAATCACCATGTTTAAGATAGTATAAAAAGTAAATGTGATATTTTAAATCATCAAGGCATGAAATGAAATATCATGGGTAAATGTGTAATTACAAACAGAAAAGAGTTTTCCAGTATGTAACTGATACAGTATACTCAAAGGAGATATTGGCCACTTAAACAGGACATTTATGCTGATTTTTTTTTTCATAATGCACCTGATATTTGTCTCCTGGCTAAAATGGTGTTACTATGACTGTCTTGTAGATTGCTGTGACTATCAATTTGGGATGTGTATTGACTGTGTACTATGCGCACCACTGAGTAAGGAAATTGAAAATATACACAGTATCATGCCAGACCTGAGAGAGCTGGGAGCATACTATGATTAGGAAGATAAGGGCAAATTTATTAAATGACTGCTTTGAGGAAAAAAAAAACTGGCGTGTGTAGAATTAAATACAGTGGGAAAAACAAAACAAACAAAATTTGATGAACTGAAGAGCCTGGTCTAGGCTAACTGTGGAAGGAGAGTTGTATGAAGAGCAGTGGCTGCGAACCCTCTTTTAAAGGGCGAGGGCTGGAGACATTTTACCTAAGAAGAAACTGGGATAATTGAATTGCGCAAACTCAACATTGAAATGCAGGGCTGAGCAAATATTTAATAAATCTATTTTGCAAGACAGATCTGCTAACATTGAATACTGAGAATGAGATAGGCTTAGGTCCCAGGAAGGATCCTGCTGACACTTTAAGTTATTCAAACTGTTCCTTCTGAGCAAGTAGCGTAAGGATAATATAGGGAACCAGTGAGGGTGTGTAGACAAATTTCTAAACAGTCTTATTAATTAAGAAACACAGAGCCAAATATAGGGGTGAAAGCCTTAGAGATCAGGAAAATAGTGAGAGACACCAGCTAGCCTTAACTCACCATGCTGCGGAAACTTCCCAAGAGCTACTTCCTGTCTACCCAGGTTTTTATTGCCTTGCTGTTCTGCCCTCTCATTGGCTCTTAGCCCAGCTACCTCACTTCCTTATCACTAACTGTCTGTTGGTACTTGGATTAAAGGCATATGTCACCATGCTTGGCTGTTCCCTGGTGTGTCCTTGAACACACAGAGACTCTGCCTGCCATGTGATCAGATTAAGGGCATGTGCTACCACTGCCTGACTTTTGTTTATGGCTGCCTATGTCCTCTGATCTCCAGGCAAACTTTATTTATTAACCTACAAATAAAATATCACCACAAGGTGAGCAACTGGGAAACTCAAAAATCCATGAATATTGGTGCCTTCCAACTTTGCTCATTTGTAGAGATCTTTCATTATCTCTCCAACACAGACAAGAATTTCAAATACTATATGCAGACTTTTTTTTCTAACTTTTCATTTCTTTTCTTTTTTTCTCTTCCTCCTACTTCTTCACTGCCCCCCTCTTTGCCTTCTCCTTCAACCTCTCCTCTCTATTTCTCTCTCTCAGATGTAAACCATCCCTTCTCATTCTTGGTTCCTTTTTTAAAAGGACAGTCTTACTAGATAACCCCGGAACTCCCTATGCAGACCAGGTAAACTCAAACTCATAGTGAT